TAATAAGCAAGGAGGCTGCTATTGGGTACGACGCTATTGGCAGAGGATGAAAGACAAGTGTTCTATTCTGGAGGAGCTGCCCTTGACTCATCAGGACTCACTCCCCATACTGGGCATGGCAATTCTAGAGAAGCTTGCTCATGATCCCGACAATTGTGCAGAAATTGCCAGAGCCACGTACCTCATTTCCAAGATTATAGGCCTCATAAGCTACACAACCGACGGCGAAAGTAGCAACGATGAGCAGCAGCGTGCGGTGATATGTGCATCCCTGAATTTTGTGAGGAGGCTTGCAAGCACCGGGGAAAACATAGGGGTGGAACTTCGGCAACAGCTGTACAACAACTTCTTTTTACTGAACAACCTTGAAAGTGTCTTGGAGGACAGCCGCAGTAGCCCTGAGATAATGAAACTGGTGATTGATATCTTAACCAAGCTGGCCTTGGATGAGGATGCAAGGAAAGAGATTGGGAGCTGCAAGGTGACTATTAGCAAACTCATGCATGCATTTATTGGGAAGGATGGAGCAAACAATACTTACGATGATCAGTCCCTGCGAATGGCCGCAGGAGAAGCACTTGCAAACCTTACAATAGAGAGCCCTGCAAATTGCTTGGTTATCTTGGAGGAAACACGATATGAACTTATCAAGGATCTTAAGAACATGTTGTGTGAAGATGAGTACAGATATGTTGCGACAAGTCTACTCCAGAATATCTGTGCGCATGCCAAAGATAAACTGCGCCATCAAGATGCAGGCAATCACCTGTCATCTGCCTTCCCAATGGTGAGTCTCTCTATTGCTACTAAGATAAATAATTTTGGAATGTTCATTATTTGTATCATTAAAGTTACTGGTTTGAAATTTGAAGCATATGGTATATAGTAGAACTTATGACTGGAGTTTAGTAGGTTAAAAAAAGCTTAAAAACATGAATGCTCATATAAAAATTATAGTGTTTGCCATATAGTATTTGGTTTCGTTTTTTCCTTTTTGCCATTTAATGAATCTTGAAATAGTCATGATTGCCTAACATTGTTATCACACCACCGTTCAAGCAGGTGATGGAAAATATAATGTTTGAGGAGGGAAAACACCTGGAGGTCCTAATCGGCCTCGTATCACAAATCTGTGACATGATCCCAGAACCATCTATACATGATCAGCTACAGCTACAAACCAACCAATCAGAGCTTGTTCAGAAGCTGGTGGGCGCACTCAACTCCAACCGAAAACCAAATCCTGAATACCCTAGGATGAGAAGGGTCATAGTTGAGATGGTGATATCGATTGTGAAATTATGTCCTCGCTACGCCACTATATTGAGAGAAGGGCGAATGATGGAAGCACTGACCAAAATAGAAATGACCCCATCCAAAGTGGAGAAGTACAGGGTCTTTTATGGCAACATAGGCATTGTTCTTGAGAGTGGCCCATCTTTGACTGCTCTGGTGGCCACGGCAAAAAGGTTAATTCATTCTGCAACTCCACCGCTTAACCTTGCGACCATGCCTGATTAACCATCAGGGGTGATAATATTCATCTGTGTGGTTAATGCATGTACAGTATATTGTGGTTGTCTGGTAATAGGGTGTATGTGTATTGTGTTCCAGACTTCCAGGCCTAGAGGATTGTGTCTAGAGAGACCATGGATTTCTTAATCTTATCTTGTACCCCTGAACACTCTTGTTAAGGCTTTGTATTATTTGACTTTTTCTCCCCTTTATTTTAATAAAATTTCCAGTAGGGGTTTAAACCCCTCCTGTTTCTTCAAAAAAAATATCATAAAGCTGATGCATAATAAATCCCAGAGGATAGCCGACTTTTTTATGGTGAAGCGAGAATCCATAGGCTTTTTGTTTTAGATGAACATGTATATATACTGTTTTTCATCAACTCCTTAGGTCCAGATCGGAGCAGATGAACATGTCCGGATGCTATATTGAAGATAAAGGATCGATACCAGTGGTTGTCTACCACGGGGCAAGACTGCTCGAGGAAGTGCAGCTCAAGTAGTCAAGTGTATCAAGCAAGCAGTTTGAATGAAGGGCGAGCATGCGAGGAATCAAGGTTGTTGTTCTTTTCTATAAAGCCAACATATAGCTAGTTGTTTTAGGTGATTATTTCATTTCTGTTAGAAGAGTGCATGCAGAATTGCATACTCTTGGCTTCTTGTCATGTGATTAGGAAGCAGTTTTGTTCTTTGTTTTTATACCATTTCCCTGTTGAACGTTGGAGCTATCTGGTTCATCAGTTAGTTGAGACACAACACCAGGCGCATGTACATGCATGACTGTTTTTTAAAGGTCAATCAACTGATTTCCCCATCGACCATATTTTTGGTAAGCTTTGTTTTTTGGACGAATAGTACTGAATTCACATATATGGAAGCTAAAACTTCCTCAAAAGATCAAAAATTTTCTTTGTTATCTACAGAGGGGGTACTATTTTAATGAAAGGTAATTTAGCTAAAAGGAATTGAATTAGTAGTTGAAAATGTAGTTTCTGTGACTGTAATAAAACAATTAAATACCCTTTTTTCTTCTACCATGTTAAGACTATTTGGAGAACTTATCACATAGCTGTTGGGTTTTGGTACAAGGCATAAGGTAAAAAGAATGCCATTTAATTTTTTTGGGGTTCATTACCATCATTTAGGCGATTTGGTGTACATGTAATGATCTTTTTGGGAGGAAACATGTATGTTTTTTGGCATTGTCTTTGTTTCAGACGGCCGTGATTTTATCCAACGCACCGTCACCCGTAGCGCACTGCTCGGCCATTTAGCATGTGATGGGTCCCATCATTTTTATCCCCTTCTTTCTTTTGTTCCCCATCCATCTCTCTCTTCCCCCCTCCCCCTCAGTCTCCCACCTCTCTCTCCCCCCTATCCCCCTCAGTCTCCCACCTCCCTCTCTCCCCTCTCCCCCTCTCTTTTTTCCTAACTCCGGCGATTTTCACTTGTGACGCAGCGGCGGCGGCGCGGCATGGAGGGACGCATGATCTACTGTGACGCCATCTTCCCCCTTGCAGTCAACGGCAATCCACCACCGCCCCCAACCCTACCAGGGACGGCGACATGTGTGGTGCGCCATCTTCTCCCCCCCCCTCTCTCTTCTTTCCTAACTCTGGCGATGTTCACTTGTGATGCAGTGGAGGTGGCAACACAGCACGGAGGGGCACAGGATCCGTTGTGGCGCCATCTTCCCCCTTGCGGTCAACGACAATCCACCACCTCCCCCAACCCTACTAGGGACGGCGACATGTGGTGCGCCATCCTCTCTCTCTCTCTCTCTCTCTCTCTCTCTCTCTCTCTCTCTCTCTCTCTCTCTCTCTCTCTCCTCTTTCTTCCCCAACTCAGATGGGCTTAGAAGGGGCTCGAGAGAGACAGGCGGTGGGGACGGCGGGAGGACGGTGTTCCGGTTCTAGCGGCGTAGGAGGTGGCCAGGCTAGGTCAAGGCGGGGGCACCCATGGCCATGGCGGCGGTGAGAGGGGGCGAGGGGGAGAAGGAGATCGCCCTAGGCATAGGGTCTAGGTCATGTCATGGAGAGGGGGGCATGGGTGAGGGGGCGAGGAGGCTTGGGTCGAGGGCGGGCTGGAAGGTGAGGCGCGACCAATGACGAGGCAAATCTGGTGGGGGGCAAAAAGAGGAAGGCGGGGGTGGACATGCAAGGAGGAAGAAGCAGCGGCAGCAGTTTTTGCTAGAAAAGGAAAGACGACGGTAAATGGTTTTTGGGTAGCCAAAACCGGAGCAGCCATGCGGCTGGCCTAATTTATGGCCGGCCGTAAGTTAGAGCAACTCCAAGAGACTAGTTAAAACATTTTGTAAAGCTAAATATGGCTATTATTGAGAAAAAAGCTTCTCCAACAGATTGTGCAAATGCCTCTTCAAAATAGCTCACTGTCCATCCCGGAAATTTCGGTCGCTAGCATTGGCTAGCCAATGTCACTCGCTATCGCGGCTCTGCGTGCGCTCGGCAGCCCGTTCCCGCGTATGGTCGCCCCTTCCCGCGCGAACGCGCCTTGATCGCACGCTGGACTGGTTATTACATACGCTCGCTCCCGGCAGGCCGGAAAGCAGCCATCGGTGCTTCGCTCGTAGCTTCTTCTCTTTGTTTCTTCCACTCGATTCGGAGCAGTGGCATCCATGGTGTGGCCTCTTCGTCTTGTTCCTGTGCAACCACCTCGCTGGCTCCCTGCATGCACGTACGTATGCATGGGCATGGCAGACAGGCATGCAAAGCTGTCTACCAAGAGCTGTCGGTCAAGCAAGCATGCTATACACGAAGAACGACTGCCGGTGAACAGAGCGACGGAGCCCTGTGACGGAGAAATTCCTACGCGATGCTATGATCCGAAAAAGTCCACATGACGTGTGGCAGCTTTGAATATACATAATGAAAAACTTTTACAGAGGCTGTTGGATTGGTCTAGTTTTTTTAGGTGGATTCTATTTTAGAGAATAGCTAAATCAGTAAATTTAGAAAATATTTTTAGATAGTCTCTTGGAGATGCTCTTAGCTGTGTTGTATGCAAACTACCTTCAGGCGATAAGGATACGAGGGGAAAGTGTTATCCGTTTGACTAGCAGAGCTTTAGAAGTCTTTGTCTTTATCCTGAATGGACGTAATAGGATGTGATTTTATTTATTTATTTTAATTTTGCATTATCTTCCCTTTAATTTGTGATCAGCCAATGAGCTGAAAACCTTATAAGAATTTGGTTGTATGTGGTCTTATGTGACTTTTTCTTTTTCTAAAAAAACAAAAAGAGATGAATTTACAACACTGTTCGCATTCTCCTTAGGGTAATACCACAAGTGCTGAACCTATAAGCAATCACTAGCAAGAATAGATAGCCTTGTAATAGCATTCTTATCAATCACAAGACTACATATGTAACTGCATGCTTAATTTCATCTCCTACTCATCGTTATCACAAAGGTGAGCCACTCTATGTCATGGTGTCAACCAACAAAGCAACCGCCACAGCATTTTCCTAGCGTTCCAGTTGTCCCATGCCGTTCTCTTTCCCGCGCTCCGGCGCACGCGCCGCGGTGATCACAGCTGTGACAGCTGCGTCATAGCTGTCTGCAGACGCCGCCGCGAACTCCGCCATGGCGCCAGTGACCGCTGCCATGCCAGCACACAGCACCCGCCCAGCCATGCCCTCCATCCCGGTAGCCACGCCCGAGCACACTGACCCGACGCCAGCGACAAAGAAGTCCAGACCGTCTATCACTCGTGCCTCAGTGGCCGCGTCAACCGCGCGCCCCCACTCCATGCACGCTAGGAACGCCGGCGGCAGCGGATGGCTGGGCCGCGCCGCGCTGCTGATGCCGAGGCATCGTCGCGCCCACGAGGCTAGTGCGCGCGCATAGGCGCGCTGCGCAAACAACCAGGTCTCCAGGGCTCCTCGCCAGGCCTGGATCTCGGATTCCAATGCCAAGGCAGCCGGTGGGGGAGTTGCAGCCTCTAGTGGACCAAGGGAGATGGCAGTGGCGGCCGAGGGGTGGTGCTGGAGGAAGAGAAGTTTGGCGTCCTCGATGGTTCGCTTCTGAACTTTGTGGCGTTCAGCCATGGCGCGCCACATCCGCGATAACCTGCATAAACAAAAGGTCAGTTACTCAGTTCCAGTTGTGGTTATGCAGAATTATAGGCTATTTCCTTGATGTTGCTTACCAGATTTTCAGTGTAAAAGGCTAAGGTTTAAGGTATTCTGTCTGCTCAGCTATTATATAGTTATGATCGGTTGATACATGAGTAAACACAGTTTGATCAGAATACAGCTCTTTTGTTGCATCTAGTTATGTTTCATTTTGTGTGATTTAAGTATGTTTCATTTTGTGTAATTTAAGTATGCTAATAGCAAAAGATTCTGTTTTGACTTCTAGACCTTGTAGTGTTCTGCTACGCAAATGAAGTTGACTTTGCAATGCAAGCCTGTCAGCAATGAGTTTATGTATATTGCCCTCCTTTTGATCTTTGAATCTTATGGTCTGTTTCTGCTTTCAGTTTACACTCTCAGAAAGGGTTTTAGAGCTTCCATGCAAAAAGTCTTTGTAAAATACTAACAGTTAAATGATTATTGTTAGATACACTACCCCCAAACTACTTGATTAATTTATAATAAGCCTTAAGATTGTTCTACCATTTCCCCGTTTGGTCAATACTCAATACACAGTTGATTCAAAAAAATACTCAATACACAGATGAGTTATTCATTTTTGTCATTTATCTATTCTTAAAAAAGCACATTCCTTCAGATCACAAGCTGTTCATCTTACATTAACTGAAAACTTAGACGACGTCAATAGTAAACTTCAACTAACAGAAGTTGGGCGCTCTTAATTGGCTATATTTACTATTTAGTCTTTATTATGGACATTTTCCAACAATTAACATTTTATTTCTAACTTGTGTGGCTCCAAGAAAAAAATTTGAGTCATTTGCAAGTGATAATGGTACGTAGAAAATTTTCATTTGCAGAATCCCTAGGATGAACAGAACCATACCCTTGAATCAACTCCATAAGCTGAGGATGCAGTTCCTCATCCCTTAGAATTTCAATCCTTCTTGATATTGACTGAACTGTGTGTATTGACACCTTCAGCCGAGTATGCAAGCTTCTCAATGCTGCGCAAGTCTTATCAACAGAGGAAGGTTCTTCGCCTTTCACATCTTGGTTCCTCAAATGTGTCAACCTCTTCTCATACTCGATTCTTAACCGCTCACCTGCCTGCAAGTGACCAAAACAGTTATGACTTTCCCTTGCATTTGTCTACTGGTGTAAGTTCCTGACAAAGATCATACCTTTACTTCTTTGTATAATTTCTTCTCCCATGTATAAAGTCTATCTAAGGTCGAGTGGTGACTTCCAGACATGGTACTACAAGATTCTTCAGAGTAACAGCTGCTAGTCTCATTGTCATAGAGATCATCTATTGAGCTAGAGGGAGCAAGAAGGAAACGAGAAGATGATGAACGCGATGATGCAGAGCGCAAAAGTGCAACTGGGTTCAGCATCTTCGCTGCAATATACAATTGACAAGCTATGTTCAGTAAGTGTCAAATCTGGATCTTTAAAGTAATTTCAGTATTGGATCGTAAAAGCAGTACCAGAAAGATCGTTTGAGGTTGAGTACTGAACTCTACTTGCCTCCAACATTACTGAGATTTCCCGAGCAGCGTCACATATCCCCAAGAACTGACAGTCGATATCCTTCATGGCCTCAACCAAGCTTGCTGGCCTTCGATTCAGATATACTGTGAAACCAGGAGTTTCTTCTGCATTTGCTACTCTGTTTCTCATCAGTTCTTTCTTGTGTGCCTTTATCTCAAGTTCTACTGTTTTGCGAGGTTCTGGTGCTTCAGTACACTGAATACCTTTGGATTCAAATCCCTTTGTTTCTTGCTTCATATTGGCATCAAAATTCACAGAGCAAGTGCCCTCGTTAGAAACCATACACTCATCTGAATGCTCGCATTCCTCGTCATCATCTTCTTCATCATCTTCATCTTCATCATCATCTGCATTGCCATGCTCTTCTTTTTCCTCTTTTCTGTGCATTTGTATATGCTCTTGACACTCATCATCTTCCTCTTCAAGTTCTGGAATTCCTTCCTCCTCTCGTACCTGTTGTAACCTCGCAAGTTCATCATCAGTGACCACATTGTCATAGCTACTCCGAGGGCGGGGATATGAAAAGCTGTCCAGCGATGAGAATGGGTTCCAGAAGAAGTCCCACGGTGATGATTCCTGCTCCTGGGGTGACGGAGGTGGGTAGCTTGGCCTGTCATATGGCACGTGATAAGAATTCCTCTGTGGCTCCTGGGGTGATGTTGATGGGTAGCTTGTCCTGTCATAAGATCCATAATAAGAAGTCCTCATTGCCTCCTGGGGTGATGAAGGTGCATAGCTTGGCCTGTCATAAGACATGTAATAGGAAGAAGAATTCCTAACTGGTTCCTGGGCCGATGGAGGTGGGTAGCTTGGCCTGTTATAAGGTGGTGGGTAGTATGAAGACGATCTCACCGGTGAGTGCATTGGTAAGAACCTATCCATGCCACTGTCATTGTCCATAGGGTAATGTGACTCGACACGGACTGTTTCCACCGGTCGTGGGTGCTCCTCAACTGACACTGATGGGTTAGGTCCTGACCTCAGGTATCTTGAGACATGAATGGTTCTCTTCTCATATGAACCATAAGGCAGCCCAAGCATCTCTGGCTTCTGTTGCTTGACAGGAGAGATGAATGTATCGAAGATGAGCTCATGTTGATCATCTCCAGCAACAAACCGTTGGAGAGCCATTGAAACACGCTTCAGGGACTCGATGTAAGCAATGTGAGAAGACGCAAATCGGTTGCGCTGCTCCAGTGCCTGCTTGATGAAGTCCCTTCTGTCCCGGCACATCTTGACAGCCTCCTCATCTTCTAACCTGGAAGCAGCACATCCCATCTCTCCAAAGCCTTGTATAGTGTTCAAGGACCAGTCATGCTTGGATCATAATCTCTGAGCTTTGAACGTGAGGAGAAAAATGACAAAATGTTACAGAAAAGTTTCAGCTTCAGGAAACCAGGTATTGCTTCATCCATCACTGTGGAAATTACCTAAAACTGTAGAAAGGTCACTTGTTGCCAGCAAGAACACTGCTGCTGAAGCCAGTGAATGGGGAGATGACCTGGACCACAATCCTACAATTTGGCAAGTTTCAGAGAGTTCAGAAGAAGGGCGGGCCTGGTGCAAGCGGTAGAGTCTTACCGCCTGTGACCGGAAGGTCCCGGGTTCGAGTCGCGGTCTCCTCGCATTGCACAGGCGAGGGTAAAGCTTGCCACTGACACACTTTTCCCACACCCCGCACAGAGTGGGAGCTCTCTGCACTGGGTACGCCCTTTCAGAGAGTTCAGAAACAACAGTGATGATGCGGAATGATCATATACACTAAGCTTACTACATGTATCAACAATAAACTCAAGCATAGGTTATCCATGTGCAAGTCGAAAACACTGAAACTATCATTCCCAAAAGTGGAATGAAAACTACAAGACATCAGAAAGACGATCCTTTGCAAATGAAATGCCCCACTGCAACATGCCCTACACTGCACTACACATTTGTTCGGTAGCAACCAAATTCTTTTTTCTCCTAAAAGAAGACTAAGGAAGCATGAAAGTGAAGAATATCATCCTTGGCCCAGCAAGAGATGAAGGGGCCTACCTTCTGCTACTTGCATCAGTAAACGGACTCGACAACTAAACTAAATTCAGTTCAGGACACTGTAAGATGCCGGGTGAGGACAGTGCCTTGAAAACTAGCAGTGCTACATTTTGTTTCAGGGAGATTAGCATAAATAATGTCATCATTAATGTCTTTAAACTATAGACAGACACGAAAGGCAATAAAAAGATATCATATAGGTGAAATCAGGGATCAACCGCTGAAGATTTTAATAGTAAAACTAGAGCACCATTGTAAGCCTCAAACACTGTACAAACAGGTGGACCTGGATGGAGTAGTCGTATTCAGTTGTCTATGCAGTTGGCAAAAGTAAAAACATAGAAACATACAAAACTGCGGTAAAGCCCAAAATTCTGGTGATGATTTATAGCTAATAATAACTTTGTCTCTTTGCACAGAGAGAGAGAGAGAGAGAGAGAGAGAGAGGTCACGGGCTCTTGGTGGCTCAGAGAAACGAAACTGCTTCAGAGAAAGGAAACTGTTAGGAATGTGAGAAAGAGTGCTTCAGTTTCTCTCGGTAGCCTGAGAAGAAAAATGGAGTGGAACGAGAATCTCTACAAACTCCTGTTCGCACTGAAAATTTTGATCTTTTAACAGATCAGAGAAGGGCCATTGTATGCCAAGAGGTGAAACCATGAACTCAGCTGAAAATGGAAGGGCGCACATGTCTCACACTGTGACTCTGAACGCACCACAGTTCATGCCGAAACAGGGAGAGCTGAAATCGTGGAACAAACACCGAAAACAAGGATATGTTGGTTGATTGAAAAGACTAATTCGATAAAAATCTGGAAACCACAGCACAATCCTGACGAACGCCAAAGGTACGAGGAACCAGGTGAAAGAGATGGGAGGAAAAATCAGGAGAAGACGAAAAAAAAGAACAGAAGCATCAAACACTGCTGCTGCAAGAACCGTGAACAATTCCCCTCTCACCAATTGCCACATCAAAGATGAACGGCGACAAGAAAAATGAAAAAAAAAAAAAAAGGAGAACGAAGGCCGAGTGAGCAGGAACACTGAAACAGGCAGACATCATCGTGAAGTGCGAAGGAAGCAAAGGCGACGAGGAACGGAACATAAATCAGAGGGAGGGATGGCGTACCGAGAAGAGAAACCAGGGACGGCATAGATGTTCTTGAAGCGCTCAAAAGGATACGCAGAATTGTAAAGATCGGGAGCGGCTAGCTCTACAAGAACGAATCCATTCCTTCCGCCTCTCGCTCTTTCTCTCTCTACCCCGCTTTGGCCCTGGCCCCCACAGATTTCTCACCCCGGCCGCATCGATTGCAAACATTAATTTAACAGAACAAAAGGCACGATGCGCGCGAGCTGCGTGTATGCATTCGCATTAGAATCGGAGGTAGTATACCTGAGAGAGAGTGAGGGAGACGGCCTTCTCTTTTCCGGGAGGCTGCTGCTGTGTGAACAAGAACGAGGAGTGGAAGACGAAGGAGGCCTTGTGCAGTCTGCAGAGGGGGGAGAGAGAGAGTGTGGAGTGGCAGGAAACGGAAGCAGGAGAGAGACGCGCTACAACGGTCAAAAGGCTTCAAAGGAGCACAGGGGAGGAGAAATCACCGGCGATGAGAGAGAGGTGGGGAATGGGGAGGAGGAAAGGAGACTCTAGGCTAAGGGCAGTCAAATGCTATGCGAAACTGAATTCACGCGTGGCCCTACATTTCTTTGTTAGTAGTAGTATTTTCTTCCCAATGATGCCCCATTCATTTTTTTACCCATGAAAATTGGTCTCGGCAGCACTTATTTTCTGGATGACGATATCGCGACCGTCACCGTCGCCGCCCCGCCGCGGCGAGGTAGCTTGCCATAGCTCCTCCGCCGCGGCCGCGGCCGCAGAGCTCCGGCAAGACTCTACCGCGCCCGTGCCGGTCTCCTTTTTCCTTTTCTCCGTTGTCGGGCCATGGTCGCCCGCCACCCTAACTCTGCTCGACCACCTCTCCTTCGCCGCGCTCTGGCGGCATTACCGTTGCCTCCACCTCATAGTTGTCTCTCTCGTCCCATTTGCCCGGCCTACCTGCCTCCGCCGATTCCTTTCTAAGCCCGTCGGAGATGGAGAAGAAGAGAGGGAGAGCGTGGGCGCGAGTTGCGCACTCACGCTAGAGCGCGACCCGTCGTCAGATAGATTTTGAGTTTTTTTCATAGAAATTGGTCAAGGCACATTTCAGGCGTGGCCCTATATTTCTTTATTTGTAGTAGCATTTCCTAATAATACTCCCCACTTAGTCATTTTCTCCATGGAAATTGGTCCCTGCAGCACATTCCTGGCAACTAAGACCTGTTTAAATCCAGCTAACAAACTATTGGTTGTGTTAGCTAGAAAAATGAATTAATAGCTAGCAGGTAAGACATTAACTGGCTTGTTAGCTGGATTCCAAACTTACAGTATCATGTGTGGTAGGTAAAACATTAGTTAATTTTTTCAAAGATCAACATTAGTTAGTTTTTGGCAGCTAGTAATTGTTAGCTATATGAACCAAACTGTGGCATTGCCTAAAAATTAGAAACTGTTTTTTGCATCATAATTTTATTGAGAATTTATTTTCTTTAGTTTTTTTCTCTACTTCTCTCTCTCTCTCTGTGCAAAGGAGAATGTTTGTTAGATTTAGATTTAAAATCTCTTTCTTTTTGTTATTTATGCAATACGTGTATACGACAATGTTTCTTACGCTAGATGATAAGAAGATGAGGTGTGGCCGTAACAGCCAATCTTGGACCCTTCGGAAAAAGTCAAAAAAAGGTTCTGAAAACTTTGATATTACTATTTACCAAAACAAAATTTGTTGTATTTGTTTGGTCCATGCCACTCCAACTCACCAACGACAGAGAAATCTCTCGCTTTAGGAAGCTTCACTCCATCCTTCGCGTCCAAAACGGATGCCAGTTATTTTCTGAATTCGGTTTGGTCGTCAGTCCGTTATGCGTGACCTTCATGCACGCCGCTCTAGACGCTTCACACAAAGCTCATGTCCTCTGAGGGACGATTAAGTTAGTTGCACCAAGAAACGCTTTTGAAACAGCTGAGAGAGAAAAAATAAACCTTTTTAAAATTTGAAACAAACCAAAACCTTTTCCTGCACCCAAAAAAACTATTTTTATTCTGGGCAGACAGGTCTTGGATCAAGAGAAGAATGTGATCAGCAATCATATGAACCGTCACTCATCTCACCGAGTCACTGTGTATGCTGCACCTTGCTGGCTGACATACACAAGCACAAGCAATGGCCTACCCCACACCACAACCACAAGGCCACATGGGGTTTTTTCTTTTCAGCTGCACAGGAAGAATGCAAGCAAAAGGTCACAAAAAGGATTAGGAGAATAGATGCCCCCCTTGATCTTTTAAGGTCCTGCTCAAATTCAGATGAAGGTTCGTCAGATGCCTTGCTGCACTAAGTGGTGGCTACGATTGACCTGAGGCAAGAGGAATAATACGTGTAGCCTTTCCTTCCGTCTACTAATTTTTTTTTATCCTCTTTTGTTTTTGGGCAAACGTGTCTAAGGTATGTACAAAGCAGAGTCACAGGATGAGTTGATTTATAGTACACCTGTATTGTATGACTTGCTAGTACTAGGATTTTACATGTATTGGTCATATCTTAACATTGATGTGGATGGTAGTTCAAAGCACTAAGAGCGGTGTAAATATCCACCGAATGGAGAACTTCAAGTAGATGCTAGAAAGAACCTAACTTTTTAGTATGTTTTGATTGAGTTATTATCTATTGCCTGTTGGAGGAACTCTAATTTTATGGAGGATAGTTACTTATAACCTTTCTGGTTCTTTTTTGTTAGGCCTGGCTGCCTTGTAATCTTCCTTTTTGTGTCTTGCTCTTTGTTCATAAACATTCTTTCATTTTTTTAATTGAAAAAAAAAAAAAAATAGGTAGGGGATTCCCATTCGGTCAAAAAAAAACTCTAATTTTAGGATGTGGTTGTTGGGGTAGTGAGTGTGTGCATTTGTACCCTGTCTTGCACAAAAAAAAAACGAATTGTTGAGAAATTCCAATTTTGGTGTTCTCCAATGAATGAAATCTACAAAGTCAGCATCCTTAAATATTTATCCATGTAGATAACTAACAAGTGCTGATTTGACCAGGAAATGGCAGATTATCCTTGAGTCTTTTTTTGACAAGGAAGAGGACGGCGTTACAAAGCAGGTCTGAAAAGGACATCTTGTATGGACGGAGAGGGGCATGCATGGGAATTTTCAAAAAGATAAAGCACGGTTTGTTCTCTCTCTCTCTCTCTCTCTCTCTCTCTCAGAGATCATAAAAGCAAAAGACATTGAAAGATTCGTGCATGCTCCTCTTTTTTTTCTCTCTCTCTAGACACCTTTTGCTCAAGCCTTTATCTTGAGCTTAGCTGCTTCGTACTCTCTCATAGCACGCCTACTTGTGGCGAGAACCCTAGCCCCTGAGAAACCACCAGCTCTTTATGCCATCTTTATTTGGACAGACAGTGATTTGTTAGGAAAAAAATAATTTATTTCCCTTCCATTTCATTGGGATCGAACCTGATTCTTCCTCTATCGAACAAACCAATCATTCAGTAAATTGTTAAGATGGCCTTTTTGCTGAAGGATCACTTGGTAGTGGCCAAAGGCAAAAACAATCATACTAAATGCACAATTGAGCACTTCCTAATGATAAAGTGTCCAAACACAATCTTATTGAACAAGAGCTTATGTTAACAAGTCAGAACTTTTGTCTGCATGCAGTTCTGGAACTGAAAATGGCAAGGAGGTTAAAAGGCAAGAATGCAGATTATTCAAGTGCACATGTTAAAACAAGACAAACAAGATCTTTCCATAAGTCAAGGCACTAGCAGCAAGTTTTATCTATGCTTTTGCCCATCTGGCCATCACCCCTGCAAAGAAAACAAGTGAAACCTACCACTACTCCTTCCTCATCGGATGCCTGCAGCTGTAGCTGCAAAGGGGTTGACACTCCCCAAGACATGCCAAATGACAGTCACACCAGGGGCCCCTGTTTTATTAATGTCCCATCAGTCAGAACAAGACACTGCATCAAGTGAAAATAAACGACATGTTCGTTAGGCTTATAAGCCATACTTTTTTTCATCCAATGAATAGTATTTTTTTTCTCTGGAAAACAAATCAGTCAACGGTACTTTCAACCATAGCTTAACAGCCAAGCGATCTGAGCAAAAGTCAGAAGAAGACACGAATGATTGGCAAGCATGGTCATTTTTGTCGTAGTTTACTGCTGCCAGTAGCCCAGTATAGATCCATAGTACAGGCCTAACCTTAATCAACTGCCCAGCGCTTGGGATACAGCAAGAATCTCAGCTTGCTGTTTTCATCAGTGCCGTGTGGGGACACCACCGGGGGAGGAAAAAAAGACAAGGAGAAATGGCACTATTGTACTGTACGTATTTGAGAATGAGAACAGCTGCTGCACTGCACTGAGCCGAGCAGTGAGGATTCGGTGGACGTTTGGTTCCTTCTCCTAAATTTTAGTCGCTGTCCCATCGAATGTTTGACACATATATAGAGTATTAAATATAGATTAATTATGAAACTAATTATATAGATTACGATTAATTTACGAGACGAATCTTTTAAGCCTAAATAGGCTATGATTTGACAATGTGGTGCTACAGTAAATATGTGCTAATGACGAATTAATTAGGCTTAAAAAATTCGTCTAGTGAGTACTGACGGATTATGTAATTTATTTTTTTTTACTATCCGAACACCCCATGCAATATTCTTATTTAACAACTTTTAAATTTTAGTAACTGGATCAAACACCTCCTCGGTCTGGTCAATTGCTCATCCATTCAAGCATTGTACTCTCTCAGCCTTTTCGAAACAGCCTTTGCCATTTCCTGTTCCTGTTTGTTGTGAACATGAGAATACTAGTGCACTTCTTTTCAGCGACATTTATTTCTCCTTTAATTTACTGCAAACTCCGAAAGAAACCAAAAGCTGACATGAAACTTTTATTTAAGGAAGAAATTGAGTAGCTTCCTCAGGAACCCAGGCTTGCATTTGCTGATTTGCATGTTGCACCTGCAAGGGTTTATGATACTGGTGCATTTTCTTCTGTCTGCAGAGGTGTTGCAAGAGCAGAATTAAGTGAAGGGAACCAGACAGTAAATGGGTGGATCTGCATGTTTCAGCTACTTGCTGTACTGATGTTGTTGCACTAGACAGCAACTGCAAGTGCCAAGTGCAAGATGGGATGTACTGTATTTGGGACACACAGCTCACTCACTAGACACTACTAACTTCACTGGCAATTGGCAAGACCGCAAGAGAGTCCAAGACTCATGGTACGGCCGCAAGGATCAAGATCCCAATGCTAGGTACTAGTACTGTACTGGTAGTAGTAGACTGGGATTTATCTACTCCGTTTCTGTTGCATGATCTGCATCTGCATCTGTACGCAGTGACACATTGCTGGATGCAGGGCAGCCCATGTTTGGCTGACAGTTTTTCCCATGCCTGGAGGTACGGTACATGATGATGACCTACCTAAACCACCCTCTTAAACCAAACGACCTACCTGTTTGTCTGCACTGGAATAAAACTGTTCTTTCTGCAGCTCGTAATCAAGGACTCACTCGATGCAGATTCAGATTCCTACTACTCTTCCATCCAGGCTGCATTGAACGAACCATATGCAGGATGCAGCTGTTGCCTTCACCAACTCACATGATGTGCTGCCACTGAGGCATTCGGCACTCACTCCCTCCTTGCATCCAATTCCAATGAGCCTTTTGTTTGTTTGCTTGCTTGAGTGCAAAATGGCAAAGGCTTTTGTTTGCAGTACAGAGAGACACCAGAGGCCACATCAGCATCAGTTACTCTGCACAGTTACCTGCACCTTCCCTGAAGAAAATGACGGGCGCAGGAAGCCTAGCGTTGCACCGAGGAGTAGGAATTCCAGTGAGAGGTCGTTGGACGTTGGCAGATGCTTATCGCCGTCAGCATCTCGTGGATCTCGAGACGTGAGAGGATGAGAAAAAAGTCTCTCGTTTCCAATCCTGCTTCCTGAAGCCTGCAGGGAAGAAGCAGTAGCCCTAGTGCTGCTCTGGTCCAATATATAGACGACGCCTACTACACGGCGTGCAGGTGCAGCAGCCCAGCCAGCCTATAAAACTCTGAATCCTGGACCTGGATACAGTGGTAGTGTACGCCAAGAGTACAAGCAAGGACTTGACACTGCCGTATGGAAATGGTATTGCCAGATTCATCATCATCGTCAGAAAGTGCTTCCTTTCGCTGTAATTCTCCTAATTCTGATAAAGTTATCTTTTTTCCATCAAAATAACTGTTAAACACGCCGAAAAAATCCTGATTTGCATCAGTTATACTGCATTTCTTTCTAGTGTGAATGTGGTCCATGGTGGTGAAGTGGAATCTAGTAGAACGTAAAATCTACACTGTGCGATTTTATGGCACATAAATTGCAGGAAGCACAGTGAATGATCAGTTTCGCCCACACACACGCACACAAGCGCATTGATGGCCGTCGCAGCAGCAGCATGCAGCAATAGTGTCCGTCTGCTGAGTGGCCAGCCTCCTCCATCTCCATTTGCTGCACTCATGGACTTTGGCTGATCCACGATGCCGAATTGCCAATGCAGCAAGCAGCAGCAGCACGGCACTACTGCATCGGACCGAGCTGCTCCCCACCTGTCAGAGACGCCACCTAGACAGCGAAGCTGCCTTGAGATAGTGATGGTCCCAAACCCTGACAAGAGTGGCGAGCTGGTGACTTGGTGAGCCACTGCATGCATTTCGCTCATGCTCACTCGTCGCCTTCATTGAGATGCCTTTCTTTTACATGAAGAATGTGACGATAAAGTGTTCGAAGTCACCTTTCTTACAGGAGCATAAGTGGAAAAAAAAAACACTGGCGTTTTTACTGGTCGCAAACGCAAAAGCTTCTGGACGAGGCACTCGTAGACTGCAGAAGCTCTCAACACTGACAGACTGACTGCGTGTCGTGAAAGGAAGACTCGACTCGACGACGACATCGACATGGCAGCGGCTTCTAAGTTCTAAAGTTGCATCATGGCCTCTCAGTCTCAGCAGAGCCGGCCGCACGCCTGACGGGAGGTCAGAAGCCCAAGTGAAGTGCCCAACGAGTGCTCTCTGCTCTGGATCGGCATGCAGGTGCAGCCGTGCCCGTGCAGATGCAGTGCAATCATCGGGGCCAAAAGGACGGGGTACAGCGATAACCAAAAAAAAAAAAGTTCAGAGATCCAGTGCAGGGAACGTCAAGCCGCTTGCAAGTTGCAGCAGCCAACGCAGCACGACAGCTTCGTCCAAAAAAAAAGTTTTATCTATGTGAGCTGCACTGCATCCTCCTTAATCTCCTTAATGAACATCATGTCAGGACAGACCAGACATGGTTGACGCAAAGGGTTTCAGAAAAACTGCGTCCGGTGAAACGAAGCATGTTGCCCATGTTGCATTGTATAAACTCATCAGGGGATTATCAACGCGCAGCAACACATGTTTAAGGCCTACTTTAGTATGGACATTTCAACCAATTCAACCTAAAGGCATGTACATATCATCTCATAAGGTAGCCGAAGGAATGTGGTAAGAGCGTCACGCAAAGCAGCTACGCCCAGCCAGCAGCCACCCCTGATGCCGCCACCGCCATGGCATGCCGAACTAACAAGGAGGTCTCGGCATATGCCTCCAGAGGCAGGCAGGCTGCGTCAACAGGGGAAGAGGATTGGGGACCCGTCGCGGCGCAGCCAGTTCTCGGTGAGGTCCACCTTGCTCATCTTCTCCTCGCACCACAGCAGCTGCTCCTCACTCAGCTTCCCCATCTGGAGCACCCGCGACACGACCTTGATGTCGATCAGGGCGAACAGCAGCTGGACCTCCTCCATTGTGCCTGGCCAGGTCTTGCTCTTCCACCCTTTCTTCTTCTTCAACAGCTCCTTCACCTTCGCCTCTTTCTGCAGGTTTTGAAGCAATTACCGTGATTCAAGGAAGAGTATATACAACACAAAAGTCAGCTTTGGCGTTGTTGTTACGCAGTAGAGACATTTGCAAGGTATGCAGACTCAACAACCCCACGTCACTGGAATCAAATGCTAGGAAAGATGTGTCCTACTACTAGCTGTTTAGAAGGGACCATATGGACAGTACAGAAATGAAGAATCGTGTATAAACACATTATGAAAGAGATTCATTATCAGTTACCCCACAGGATAAGACTTACCTTATCGAGTGAAGATTGCACTTGTTGAATCGAGCTTCCAGTGTGGCCATGAGCACTCATAAGCACACTACTCTTTCTCTTGTCCTTCTTCAGGAAAAGGCGGAAAGTTAGGATAGATTCCTCTAACAATTTGATGAGATCAGGTGCGGAAATCGCTGGTTCCATTTGATCTTCAGTGTTATCTTTCCTATCTGCGACTGAATTGAGAGAACAGAAATGATAAGCAGAATAGTATTATCAAACATTACTGAGTATGAATCATTCAGGTATGCAATACAAACAACTGACCAAATATGTAACAGTAAAAACAGACATTAGCATGCTATGAATTTAGAAATCTAGTAGTAAAAGAAAGGAAACTTACTCATACAAAAGAGTAACTAAGCGATTAGTGACAAAATGAAACAAAGAAACAACAGTGTTTACTGTGCTACTGCACTCAATAATCATTTCCTAACTGTAGACTAAAGTACAATCTAATGCATGATTCTGTACGGGATTATAAGTACCCGGTATTAAACATGTTGCAGCAGTAACTGGAAAGAACTCATCAGTAATGTAGTCAAGCATTGTGGCAGCACAGAGACTCAACAAACCAGCTGTAGTTACTCACGAACTTCAGAAGCTATATCTGTACAAAATCTTACTGACAGTACAGGTGCTGACACCAAAAGAAAAAAAAGAAATCACCAACAATTATAGTTCAGGAAATTCTTGTGCATGGCATACTTATCCATATTACATGGCAGATAAAAAGCTCTAAAACGAACGTGTACCAATTTAGTTGTAGACTTATTGACCTTAGTTGTAGGAATAATGAAACAAGCAGCTCTTAGTTCCAAACATACATGCTCAAGTTACCATCTTTCTAAAAGGGATCGAATAATGGTACAAAACTAACCACTGCCAATATTTTCCCCACTGTTAGATGAACACGAAATAGAAAAGAATCCATATTCAACACAGTACATCACTGCTCAATGTTCATTAATATTGCCAATGTACAGCAGATTGAATTGGATTGTACAACGTGAAATATGTACAGATTATTCAGTAGCTAAACCTATTTATTGTAGTACTAGGCTAGTACAGGACATAATTATGAAAAAACAAAGGTGTAATCAGTATTACACTTAACGCGTCGAAAAGAAAATGCCCCTTGTGTATAGGCAATATCAGGACAGCTATTTTTCCTCAGCGTCATGATTCTAAACCATTTCTACAAGACTGTACAGGATTCAAAATCAATTTTTACACCATTATCAAACAGGTTGAACTTCTGGAACCATTTTTTCATGTAAAGAAACAAGATTAACTTAAGTGCCAAGAAAACAGGGACCATCGACATACCTAGCGAACAGTAAGCATTCAAGAGTTACAACCATTGTATCTCGTAATGAAATAATCCAAGACTAAGAGAAACAGTTCTACGTAAAATTAATTGAAAAGCATTAGGCATTTGCTAAACGCCTGAAAACCTGCTGTCATTTTGATCTCGAGTGCACGGTTCACATCTTAGTTTGAATTTAAGTTAATAACATGACAACATAAGTCTATAGAACCATAACCATGACAGCTCACAGGAACACATTTTGATGGTATAGGCTACATTTATGTTAAAAAATGCAGCAATATAACCCAAAGAATCTTACCTTGAAAAGTGGGGACCTGAAGCAACTTTGACAACAAGCTCCGAGACCGTGCATATATCTCAACCCGGGTACCATGCTCAAATGGTTCATTTTCAATGAATCTCTGCAACAGGACCTGGAATTGCTGGAAGGCTTGAGCAGCAGAGCTGTAGGTTGTAGGATTATCAGGTTGTGCTGCAACGATAAGGCTCAGGTGCACATAGGTGCAATGCAGAGCCTCCCAGCTTAATGAAACATGAGCAACATATGCAGTCTCAAGTGTCTGATAAGGATCATCTTCGCTTTGCTGTTGTTGAAGTTGTTCACAATCCTCTGGGAGCTCATCTTTTCTTTTGAATGAGAGGCTGCGGAGGGTAGACGCCAATTTTGATGCTGATCTTGGAGACTTTTTGGACATGTTCAGTGACTCTACAAAGGTTTTTCCGAACCATCAGACTTGCTAAAGTATGCAGAAGGGGTTATTTAAATATTTCAAAAATCATTGGCACTCTAGCAAGCAGCAGCAAAATGACAATGTCAAATCCACTAAGCAATAGTAAACACCAAAGAAAAATTATACTGCTAGAGGGGTGACTGAATCCTGAAGGTAGTCAATAACATGTGCAGAAGAGAAACATTAAACAGAAAAAAATTGGTTGATTCAATGAGATACAAATACCACTTGAACTGCACTGGTACATGGGCACTGGAGTCAGCAAAAATTTAGGATTCCAGTATCTGGGTAACGCTAAGCAGAAGATGACAACAGTGGTTGATTGTGTTTTTCTTGCTCTTTTGAGTGATGTGTCTGATGCTACGGTTTCATTTTAAAAGAAAGAAAACGGTTTCAGAAAGAATACTAGCGATAACTGTGAGCATACCAAATGAGGCATGCAACTACCACAGAACACTTGTATTCATTAAGCCTCTTTACAGGAGTAGGGACCATAGTTTAAAATGGTACAAGGCGCCATGTTGACCATAATCTATAACACTAGAATAGCAACAACTTGACCTTGATAACTAAGAAGCATCCAAGACAAACATAGCTAATTTTAGTAGCATCAGACTAGATACAGGCATAATCACAAGCACATACAAAAGACTCATGTACACACATCACATTACAACCAACTGCATGTGAGAAGCTAAAGCCAAGCATAAAGGAGAACATTCATAATTAGCTACATCTTTTACCTGGATCCTTCATGAGCTGCGCGATCATCTTATGAAACACCAGCATCCTCTCGCAGTACTTATCATACAGCGAATCGAACCCACACAGCGGGAAGCCATCGCCGACACCCGACTCCAGCCACTCCCTGGGGCTGCCCCCTTCCTCCTCCCCACCATCCTCCTCGAGCTCACCGCACTCCTCCTCGGGGATGAGCACCATGAAGCTGTTCTTCCTGAGCTCCTTGAGCCTCCGCTTCACCTCATTCGTGATGAAATCGTCGTCATCCTCCTCCTCCTCCTCTCTTCAACCACCCCATTGCCCACGCCCGCACCCTCCGTCGCCGCCGCCTCAGCATTGTTCCCCTCCCGATTGTCCGGCTTCTGCTCCTCCAAGCCCCGAGGGGTCACATCCCCGGTGCTGGCGTCGTCGTCGGATTCCACTCCCTCTCCCCCACCCCAGGCACTCTTCTTCCCCTTCCCGAACTTCTTAATCTTGAAGAAATCCATCAGCACGGAGTTGCCCGGGGCTATGATAAACCCGGAATGCTCAGACAGACCCTCCCAAAAAGATCCCTCCTTTTTTCTTTCTTTTCGCCGATCCTTGATCCCAAAGTCGGCCGAGCAACTTTGTTTTCCTTTTCCTGCAAACAGCACAGGAATCAGGGAGCAGACGGATAAAAGACAGGGAGGCGGCCGGAGGTGACTCCCCTGAAATGAACATCTAAAAGAAACCCTAAGAAATCGCGGACTCGCGCCGTGCTCGGCGGCCGAAATAATACCTCAGGAGAAGCCGACTACCCAGACGCCCGCCGCAGCTCGAATGCGGGATCAAGCCAGCCCGACGATCCGTCGAATCCGAGCCCGCCCAGGCTCGTCGCCCGCCGGGCGGAACTCCCTCCACGGGGGAAGCCGGTTCACGGCTGCGACGGCGAGGTGGCGGCGGCGATGAGCATCTCCCGTGGATCGTGAGGCCCCACTCCCGGAGTGGTCGGCGCGGCGCTGCGCTGCTGGTTTCGTCGTCGCCTGGAGACAGGGGGTTTTAGAACGGTCGGAGTCGGGTTCCGCTCCTGGGGGCTCGCCGACTCTGGCCCGTTCGCCTCGTCGGTGTGGCCGTGTGGGAGCTGGATGCTGGAACTGGAATCCAATCTTCTCAAATCTCAACCGCGGGCTCGAGGGTTTAAGCGGGGAGCGACTGCCGCTTTGGGCTGTGGTTAGCGGCGGTGATTGTGATTAGCGGGTGGTCAAAGATGGAAGCACAGAGAGCACGGGGAGTGTGAGGGCTCGTTTAGTTGCCGCTTTGGGAAGATTCTCCGTCACATTAATTTTGAATACTATGGTTAGCGGCGGTGATTTGGTTTGCTTTTTAACGTGATTTTGGCTACAATGGGTGGACACATTATTAAAGATGGGAGCAGCACAGAGAACGGCGGCGCCGATTCGGTGGCCGAACTAAACGCGGCCTGAGGGGGAGAGGAGTGTGGAGTGCATCGGAGACCGCGCGGAGAGTACGACGCCTGTCGCGGTCACTGTGGTCGCCCCACAGTGGGGCACGCTGCATGGGTGGCTCTGGGCTCTGGCTCGGGTATCCCAGCAGGGAAATTGGGCCGCATCGGAGGTAACGAGGCCCAGATAGACAAACAGAAGGGCCAATGGAGGCTCGGTAAGCATCGGATGCCCCGCGGGCCGCGGCGACAACCGACAAGATTTCAGTTTTTTTATATGACGACGAAGGTTCAGTACTTCAGTAGAGCACGTGACACACGTCCATCACGGCATCACCGTACTGGTAAACAAGTTCCAATTTTCCTAGTATAAGCTAGTACTCTCTTTATCCCAAAAATTGCAATTCTCACTTTCCAATATGTTAAATAAATTTAAATTTGATCAAATTTATACAAGTTTTTACTACTTTTTATTTATGATACCAAATAAGTATCACTAGATTAACTATAAAATATATTTTTACAGTAAACCAATTTAGAAATATAAAAATTGATAATATTTTTCTATAAACTTAGTCAAACTTTAAAAATAACTTGTATCAAACCTATTGTTAGACCATTAGGCATTTTCATGGTCAATTTAATCTAGAAATAAAACATCAGAACATATATATGTGTATATGTAACAAATATCATCATGCAAGTATAACAATCGCGCATAAAAGCATAAAATGACGGTAATACAAGTATGACATATCGATCGATATAGTAAGCTCCATTAAATACGGAAGCACTCAAGTCGTGGTAATTAGAGAGTTAAGAGTGATCCCACGAACCGTCACCGGAAAGAAGGATGGTCCCATGCGGCGATCACCGGGAAGAAGGCGAGGGCAGTCATGGAGGCTCCATTCATAAGGTGTTATATAGTCCCATGAAACGTTACTAGGAAGAAGACACAAGTCTTTGTCGGAAGAAAACGCGTGGACCACGATCGATGAATCGCTCCCAAAAACCTAATCGCCCGCACACACTCCATGGAAGGTTGTTCGCGATGGTTCAGGAGGCCTTTGCTCTCCCATTGCTCCCATGAGGCGGAAAGTCAAAAAGAAGACAGATGTGGTCTCGAAAGCAAAGAGAAGATTGAGCGATGGAGGACTTCTAATTTATGCTCAAGCGGAAGAAATCACCAAGAAGACGAAGAGGCGATCTGCGAAAAGTCATGGATCTCCGTAATTATGTGGATTAATGCAGGAAGGTGTTAGTCTTTTCATCACAATACTTTGCCACACATCAGTGGGCGTGATGCCAGCGCCCATGAGCGGTCACTACGGAAGAAGACACTGATTAAACCATACAACGGCAATAATCACGGACCATAGAGTTTTATTTGATTTATTAAATATTATATGGGCCAAGCCCATAATATATTCAACACCTACAATTACATTATTTTAAGACAGAACGGGTATATGCTTGAGGGTGAGATGACCGTAAACAAAAACCAAAAGCCGGGTAAGTAGAGTTGTATCTATGGATGAAAATGCGGATATTTATTGAATCGCTCGTAGAACAAATAAAAACCTAATCGGATATCCCGGATACACCGGATATCAAGGTTCAAATACGGATGTAATATCAGCGATACGAGGATTCGGATAATCCGGATAAGTGCGGATATATCTCCCATTATTCCATGATGGAGAAATGATCAAAATAAAATTGTAGATCTCAAAAAGTTATGAAACTTTGTTGTTTATAACTTTTCGTTTGAAATCGGAAAAACTTTCTCAAATGGAAAACTAGTTTATAAAGGGTCAAATTTGAGATCATAAATTTGAACCATCTCTTAAAAGGAAAGTTGAGAAGATTGTAGATCTTGATGAGGAGGACTTTTCTAATTTAGAGTTCATAATACTAGAGTCAAAGTGTTGTTTTTTTCATTTGACCAAATTGAGGAAGTCAAACTTGCTCAAATGAGACACTAAATGAACTCAGATGAAAAAACTCTAAATACCAAGTTTGATCATATCAGCAAGATCTACAATTGTTACGAATTTTCCCATTTGAGAAAATTTTATCAAACACTAGTCACAAATTCTTGATCATATAAATCGAAAACTATGTCACAATGTAAAATTTGAACTATATTTCACCTCCTCAAATGAAAAAAAAGCCTATATAAGGATTGTAGATCTTGATGATATGAACAAATTTGTATTCAAAACTTTTCAATTTGAGACAATCTAGGGTTCCGAAAACTAGTTTGTAAACATCGAAATTTAAAATCACAAATTTGAACCGTCCAAACTATCTCAAATGGAAAGTTGACCAAAACAACAATCGTAGATCTTGATGAGTTGAACAAACTTGGTATTCAAAACTTTTCAATTTGAAGTCATTTAGAGTTCATAATACTAGAGTCAAAGTGTTGTTTTTTCATTTGACCAAATTTGACTTGGTCAAACTTGCTCAAATGAGACACTAAATGATCTCAGATGAAAAAACTCTGAATACCAAGTTTGATCATCTCAGCAAGATATACAATTGTTACATAGCTCATTTTTTCATTTGAGAAAGTTTTATCAAACACTAGTCACAAATTCTTGAATCTCATATAGACTTACGAAACTCAATTAGGAAATGGATACATTTTTTCAATCAAATGAAAAAATAGCCTATATAAGGATTGTAGATCTTGATGAGCTGAACAAACTTGGTATTCAAAACTTTTCAAAGATAATTTAGGGTTAGAAAACTAGTTTGTAAGCATCGAAATTTAAAATCACAAATTTGAACCGTCCAAACTATCTCAAATGGAAAGTTGACCAAAACAACAATTGTAGATCTTGATGAGTTGAACAAATTTGATATTTAAATATTCAATTTGAAGTCATTTAGAGTTCATAATACTAGACAAATGTTGTTTTTTTTTTGACCAAATTTGACTTGGTCAAACTTGCTCAAATGAGACACTAAATGACCTCAGATGAAAAAAACTCTGAATGCCAAGTTTGATCATCTCAGCAAGATCTACAATTGTTACATAGCTCATTTTCCCATTTGAGAAAGTTTTATCAAACACTAGTCACAAATTCTTGAATCTCATCTGAGACTTTCTAAAACTATGTCACACACTTGTGAAATTTGAACTACATTTTGTTCAAACTTTCTCAAATGAAAAATAGCCTATATAAGGATTGTAGATCTTGAATCCATGACCATGACTCCATGAGAAAGCCATGAGCTTATTTATTTACTCTCATGCGAAGATTGGTGCTTGTATGATGTTTGATGTATGATGTATCTCTGTATCTTTATCTTATTTGTTGCTTTACTCTTTAGTCTTTCGGCTTAATCTAGATGGATTATGGACTCATAGAGTATGTAATGGTTTGCATACGTATGATATATATATATATATATTGCACTCAATATCAAGAATAGATATTTGTTTAAGACAGAACGGGTACTCATTATAAATATCTTGAGGGTGAGATGATCCGTCCGAATCCGAATCCGAGCGAAATATGAAAACAAATATAATAAAATCCGGGTATCCGAGAGTTGTATCGTAGTTGCACAAGATCAAGACCTCGCAGGAGCCGATTGTGAGCCTTTAGCAACCAGCTTTTTGCCCACCTGGTTAGGGACATGTATATATTTGAACTAGAAGGTTTGAATGTCTACAAAACTCTTTTGAGTTTGGTTTACTTACCACATCCCAGAAAAATAAGGACTTTGTGGGGATACAGTGGGTGCAGCCTGCAGCCCCTAGAAATTAAATCAATATCGAGTATCTTAGGGAATGTCCCACTACAAGAATTATGTGGTTCTATGACATGGGCTAACAATTAGTCCTTAGATTTGGGATGCCAAATAGCCAAATAGGACTGAGTTAATAAGTGCTAATGAGGCTGATTAGTGATTAGAACTCATTATCGCTTATTAGCCCAAGTTTTTTTTAGCAACGCTATTAGCCCATGTTTAGTCTGCTATCGCGAGATGGCTAATTTTTAGCCCTGTGATCTAAACACCCACAAATTAAGCCAGTTAGGACTTAGGAGT